ACACTAGGAAAAACACCAGCCCGAACTCTTTATGTCTCTGAATATGTGTGTGTGTGTTTGACAGCAGCAATCAAACAACAATTTGATGAGATTTTGACCAATGGATGAGATTTTTATTTGATTTTATATACACACACACTGCAGGCACACACATACCACACATAGCTATTGTTCAATTTTGTTTGTGGCCAAAGTATTTTTCATTTCTTTTTTTTTCAAAAATAAAAAAAAAAGATTCAAAATACGCAAACTCAGAACAACAACAACAACAACAACATAAATGTGTGATGATTACACAGAACATTGATTACACCATTAAACACTGCATACACATACACCACACACACACACACACACACAGGTAAAATCCAAATGATGATTAGGGATTTAAATTTACCTAAATTAAAGGTGGGAGGCAAATGGAAAAGGGGGAAAAAAGGAATTGGTTTTTGCTAAAAGTTATGAAATTCCGAAAATAAATAAATCACAATTTAAACGGTTTTTAATTTCATTTTTTTATATAGCTTAAATACGAAGGAAATGCATGATTGAAAATTCCAAAAACAAACAAACAAACAAGAGATAACAGAGACATAGACAAATCTTAATTTGTTTACATGATGATTTTTAACCAGAAATTTCAATTTTTTTTTTATAAATCACATGCAATCATCTGAAGAAAGAGAAAAACAAAATAATTAGACCCCTTTTTCTGCTAATGTTGTTGTTGTTGTTGTTTTGTTGTTGTTGTTTGTTGTTGTTGTTGTAGACGTTTTTTTTCTGGTAAATAATTTAATCCTTTAGGCCATTTTGGTGCATTATTTATGAAAACACAAAACAAAAATAAACAAATTTGTTGTCGATGAAAAATGAAAAAAATCATCATATTTACCTCTTACCTAGACACACAGAGATAGTATAGTATTTCTCTTCTATCTTTTCATTTTTTTTTTAATTTTATGGTTATCGTTAGTACCATCTTTTTTTCATTTTAACTCTCTCTCTCTCTTTCTCTTGAAATTAGTCTCTTAGTTTTCAAAAAGCAAATCTTGATTTCTCTTTTTATCCATCCATCAATCCATCCATATTTTTTCATCTTAAATCCAAATTCCTTTGGTATTTTATCTCCAACCAACAACAAAAAGAGAATATTAAAAAAAAAAATTTATTTTTGTCTTAAATTCACTTGGCACATCATTATCATCATGGTCATCATATTATCCTACCTGAATTGATTTAAGCCATTTCATTAGTTTTTTCTTTTCTTTTTCATTCGTTTCTCGCGTCATAATATTCAATTGAAATCAATCTGATAAAATTGCATTCGAAAAAAAAACCAAAAGAAGAGATAATAAAAAATCAATAATTGGGCAATGTTTTTCAATGTAATTCAATTATATATATGCACGAAGATATCTTTTTTTTCGTTTTTTTTTTTTTTTTTTGATTATCAAATCTGATCATTAAAAACCGATAAGCGAAAAAAAACA